CCCACTATTCGCATTCGTCGGGCTCGAATGCGCGTCGCCTCCGGGGGACGCCCTAGTCTTTAATCGAGATATTTTATGAGACATGTCTGCATTTGTGATGCGACGGGGTGTTTCTCAGCCGGCTTGTCGCATGCCCTGTTTGGAAGGGCAGCCTGACGCTGGAATTGTGAGCAGAGTTTTGCCGCAGAAATTAGGCTCAGGGTGGTATCGAACCCGTGACCTTCAGCACGGCAATGTTACGTAGAGCACTAACCACTAGACTAACTCTGCTCTATTAGAATAAAGGAATTGAATTATTATAATGACTGTGAGACAAATGGCGGCTGGGAAGAAAACTGAGGAGGCCTGAAGCGTTCAGCGTCACATCTAAAGAGAAGCTTTAAGAAATCCTCTTTGCATGGAACCCAAGAGAGGACGGTGAGGGGAGGGTCCGCATCATTTGACCTAGAAGATTCACTGTGCAGAGTTTGTAATCTTGAATAAAATCCGTATAGTTTCCTTAAGAAAGGGGTGTCTAAAGGTTCCGCTTCACTCTGTAGGGGTTGTTTTGCAAGGACTTTTGAGGATGTAAAATTATACCCGTACTTCTGCTAGGATACTGAGGTCTTTGGAGGAAAACCTGGAAATATCAAAGGCATCAGATTCACTGCAAAGAATTTCAGGCAGAAATGGCGGCGCTTCTGAAACGGGAGGCGAGGGGTGTTTGGTGACTTCCGCCTCACTTTTAGAGAGATGCCTCAAAAAAGGAAATCTTATGCATTTCTTGGAATTTGGGGAGGGGGAGGGGAGGTGCGTCACTTTGGCAGAAAGCATTGCGATGAAAAGGGAAATTCTTTGCACTGTATGTAATTCTAGGGAAGAGAGTTCCGCGCTACTTCTGGCGAAAAGGTATCTGAGCTTATTTGAATTTCTGACAATCACTGGAACTTTAGGAAAACACTATCCTGCTCCCCGAATTCAAATGTGCAAACCTGTTTCTTGTTGAAAAGACCTGACAATTTCTACGACAATGCACGTTCAACGAAATATCTTTCGCAGCTTTTCATGAGTTTTTCAAAAAGTTTGAAGTAATTCTACTTATCCTTTCAAAGCTGTAAATTGTACACTTTGATCTTGCTGGACATTTGGTTATGAATTTTCTGAAAGCTCGCCTCTGAGGAGTATCACATTAAGTAATCCTGATTTCACACCTAGCAGTAAGCAGATTCTGGCTAAATGACTGCTCAATGATGAGGCAGGATACTGTTAAAAAGAATATTTTAGCGGCAGTCTTCAGAATGCAAGATTAACTTGAAGTTTTTTGTGCCACGCAGGTTTGTTAAGAAAGAAATGCCAGATTTTACGAACAAAGAACACACGAAATACGTAAAATTAGTTTTTGAATGTTCACATTTTGACGATAACTCTGTTGCTACAGAAAAAGCGATGTGCAAGTTTTAGTCGAATATCATGCTTAGCGCTTTTCCGGCTGAGAGGCACACTATTAGAAGATGAGCTGCGTTTCGGTTCGGATCAGATGTGCTACATAAGATGATTGGTGGCGATTTCAAATATGAAAAAATGGATCCAGCTCTTGCTAAAATGCTTTTGCAGTAAGAACAACAAAGGTTGAATTATGACTATCCACTCATTGCTTAATGCCTGTTTCGTTAAAAGTACGGTATTGTGGCAACCGTCTCGAACTGCTGTTTTATCATATTAGGTGAAAAAAATTGTCAAATTGATAGATCTGTTTGTTGTAACTCATAGTCGCAAGAATGCTGCAGCTTCGAGTGTTTGGGCAAAGAAGTAGTAGTTCTTTGGATTAAGTGCAGAAAGAAATAGTTTAACTCACCTTTGAAACGAAGGTAACATGTTTGAAAATGATTATTTATCTGGACGACCCAATATTTAAAAATCTCGGAACTCGCTGAAAAAACTTGCTGATTATGACTAAAATTTTATTTTGTCGACTTTATTGATTTTCGGAAGATTTTGAGCTACGAGGCTAGAGTTGGTACAGAGGTAAGTGAGGCTGCTAATTACAAATAAACACTTACTTTGTTGCCTTTATCGATTTTTCGAAAATCTTGAGCTACGATGCTGGGAGTTAGTACAGGGAGTAAGTGAGGGTGCTGCTCAAAAATAAAATTTTATCAATTTCGCAGATTTTTGGAAAATCTGAGGGTGACTATGAATGGATCGGCTTTAGCCGGATACGAGAGCAAGTTTTAGATCTGGTTGCTCTACTTATCCGGTAAATCATTACAATATTCATTCATTCCATATATGTAATTTTCCAATTTTCTTCGGCATTCATTCAATCGAGAATTTTCAAATCTTGAATTTATTCGATATTTGTTTATTCGAGGTTTTTTATTTCTGAATTTATTCGATGTTCGTTTATTCGCAATTTTTCATTTTCGAATTTATTCGATATTCATTTACTCGGTAAAAAATCTTGAATTTACCCAAGTATACTGCCGAGTACGGGCGCTATCATGACTCATGCGCGCGAATGCCAATGTTAGCCCGCAAGAGACACGCTCGCGGACGTTCATCCTGGTAGATTCCATGCAATCACTATATCACTATATCTGCGAAGTTATCGCAATTGACGATCATAAGTACCGCAATTGGCACAAGGAATGGGCTACTCTCTACATTCTCATACAAACTGTTATGAACTATCTCCTTCCCTTCCTAATCGAACATTGTAAGAAAAATCACCCCGAGTAATTTTTCGCTTAATACAGCGTATTTCGCTTAATATAGTTACTGCAGCTAGAATGCGGTAATTGCGCGTGAACAAGTAGCCACGCCAGTAATGCCGGCATCTTGCGGGCGCAATCAGCTGGTGGCACAGGCGTAGTCATTAGTTCACGCGCAAGTTTTACCGCATTTTACCTGCAGTGCAAGCACACTATACTAAGCGAAGAATCTACTCGACTGTACAATGATATCTAAAAATGCGACGAAACGATATCTATAATGCTATAAAGAATGCGATGTTTAAGCCGCGAGTTGGACGCACGTATATCATAATAAGTGCGGATATCGCACGATCAACAGAATTTAGCATGTTGACGACCGAGCCATTATGGGCAAAACTCCCACTAACGTTTTCTGCGCATTTGTTCGGTGCACATACAGTATGCACGAGATCATTATGTAATCTCGTGCATACTTAATCTCGTGCATTATTCTTTTCGACGCTTTTTCATAAAACATGCAAAGTTCTCACAGAATAACATAGACAGGGTGTCCCAAAAATGTGCCTACTGTTTGATTGTAAATAACTCTCTTGTAATGAAGCCTATCGAGAAGCTTCAGGTACCGATCTGTAGGGCGAGGCTAAACTTAGATTTACACTATGGAGCGAGTCATCTATCGCTCTTCATTACTGTAGGATTACGGTACGAAATTCGACAAAGATTCTAGGCCATTGGAGGCTATATTCTGCCTCGGAACAAAACCAAACAAGCCAAAAACTCTCATGCTACGGTAATAAGAGGAGCTGATTTCGAATTTGAAAGCCCCATTTTACTGTGATGCTCCTTTTCAGAGTTTTTCAGATTTTTTAAAGAGAATTTTGTTAGGTGGTATATTTCACATTGGTTTCATATGCTGGAAGTTCGTACCGTAGTCCTACAGCAATGAAGAGTGATAGATGATTCGCTCCATACCGTAAATTCAAGTTTAGCCTCGCTCTACATTACAAGAGAGTTATTTACAATCAAACAGTAGGCACATTTTTTGGGACAGCCTGTATGACACAGAGTATTACCAGGAATTCACATACGAAGTTTTTTGTATCGATTTCCCCCCCCCCCTCCCCAAAAACCATGTATTAGCTTATCTGGAGAACCTCTCTTCGAGAAAAGCGTTATAGTTCTGGGTGTTTTTGCATGACGTCGTTTACGATTGCTCGTTGAACGCTATACAGAGTTTTTGCCTTCTCAGAAAACGTAAGTACCGGACACTTACATCAAAAATATAAATACCTAAACTTGGGGATCAAAATTATAAGTAGCCTGGCGATCCCTTGTGATTCATAGCAGAACAATAGAGCCACCAGTTTATTACTGTATGGAAGTTATCTTAGAGCCTTTAGTTTCTGCCTGAAAAACTGGCGTGCATAGGAACGCATGCAAGAAAATGCTAAGGACTCACGATGTGCTTCTTACGCGCGTATACACTACATGTTGTCAAGGTGTTAGTTGCGAAAGGTGCCATTGCCTTGGCATTTGTGATAATCTATAAGTTGTGCGAGCATATTGTTCTGCCGCAATATTTGCATCGATCTTGTTCGCAATGTTGTCCTTCATCCACAACAAAAAAAGTATTTCGTGGGATTTCGAGAAAGAACTTTTCAATTATAGCTATGCGCAATGACGTGTTTGAAACAAAAACAATGATTAACACATTGACGACAACGTGACCCACATGGTGGGTCATGCAATGACCCTTGTTTCATAAGTTCTATCATGGTGTATACCTACGAATTACTTCCGCTTTTCTTGGCTGCTTCTCGAAAGCACTGTAGGGATACTGTAGATGAAGGCCTGCTTGATTTTAGCTAAAAATTCTCAACTTAGTCGTGAAGACATTGTCCCACAACGCAGTCAGCTAAAATGCGCGTTGTCGTCGTTAAACAAGGGACATGGATTAACTTTTGTAAAGAAATTCCATTTTCGGCGAGATAGTACTTGTATCGCTGGAACTTGACCGTAAAACGCTGTCATTCATCTAGAATGTGGTTTGCCTTACTGGTAAACAAGCCGAAAAATTTATCGAAATTCTCGGTAGCAAAACAGACACTTTTTACCCTAATTTTACGAGTACAGATGGCACTTGTTTTTCTCGAAATTTGATCTGAAAAGCTTGAACACACCAAAACCATTCGCTACAAAGAGACCCTATAGCAGCATAAGTTCCGTTTTCTGGGACACAGCGAAGCGGTTGACTGGATCGCTTAAAGAGTCGAAAAAGGTGCGTCCTGTACTCGTAAAATTAAAGTACTAGTTTTTCGTTTGCTCGACCTTATCGACAAGATGATAGTTATCAACATCCGGAATTGCAAATTTTCCAAATGCACAACCAGCATTTCCGCTATCTTCATCACGTGTACATCCAAGGTAGATACTCTCACCCTGTCCGGTTTGCAATTTGTTGATGTTCTGAAAAAATTCGACTTGTTGTTCAATCGAAGAACAATGAGCGGCTGAGAAATTTTCCCGTGTAATTTCCGTACAATTCACATTGCTTATTGAGACGGATAGTTCAAGCATGTAGATAGACCATGTAAAAGGTAATTAGCTATTTTTATCGACTATGCGATGGACATTTTGCGCAGATGTAGGATATTTTGGAAGGCGAGCAGCAAGTGAGACTCTTTATCAAATTGAATCTCTTTAACGGTCGCATTGGTTTTATCTAAACAATACAAACTTTACATCTTAGTGATGCAAACAAAAGGAAACAACTGGAAGAAAATTTGACACTTCATTACTTTTATAGCATGGCAGATCTATGCTATGCAAAGGCTGCAGCAAGCTCAAATGAGCACAGCCAAAATCACATACGGGCTTTTCCATTTATTACTCCTTACAAAGAACAAATGCTGTGAAAAGAAAAGTTGCTACTGGTCTGATGCAAAGAATCAGTTTTCTCTCAAATACGATGTTTATAATCGAAAGCGGCAAGAGCTCACCAGCAATGTTGTTTGCAGTCAAAACTAAAACGTCGGTTTCGATTATCTTGTTGGTCATAGACAAGTTTGATGCGGATTTGTACTTGATATCACAAAGGAAGCAGCACTGATAAAAAAACCCTCACAAAAAGCAAGGACAGTCGAGCATATGCCTAGTTTTAAACAACTAATTTCTCTTCTCAAAGTTGTCTTACCTTCTGTATACATCCTGCGCATCCATTATAGAAAACCGCGTCCATCTTACTGAAGGTTGAACCCAACTTTTGAAGCGTTTTCTTCAATATTAAGCAATGGAACCTACTCGGTGATGCATATTAGGATGGGTATCTCGAACTCGCTACCATTTTTTCTTGCACTCGTCCAAAAATAGTGATTGTTATGACTAAAACGGTTGATGGCGACTCTAGCCATATCGCTGTACTTGAACGATTGCATCTAAAAAATTTTCATGAAATAACTCTGCATGTAGCACAAATTTGTTTGTATATAACACAAAAATAGATGCATGTTTAACAAGGTTCTGATACCATATTATCTCCAAACGAGTGCGTTCCTCCTCTTCGTGGATGTTCGCACTGACTCTGCTATCTGTATGCCTATCTCATTTTTCCAATGATGATGACTTTGAAACTCACAGTCACCGCGCAAGGCTGTACATCACAAATGAATCGTAAACAACTGTTTGATTTTGAAGCATCTCCATGTAAGATCGGTAATTTTGGAGAAAAAAAAACTTTTTGCGAAGGAACAAATGCAAATTTGCATAGATTACCGAATTTATTTTGGCTTGATAATCGTCTCGTATTAACTTAATGCTCATTTTGGTGTATATTTCCGCGGAAAAATCTCATTTTTTTAGGTAAAACCTTGCCAAATCAACTTTTTACGCGATCACTACTTTCTGGTGCTGTTTTCGTAAATAAGGAAACTTTGAGAGCTTTTTGAGCTAGAATTCTTGAGGCGCAGATCCACTTGTCAGACAAATCATGACTTTGCAAAAAGTTGGATTTGTAACCCAATTTTGCGCGCCAAAAGTCGCGTGGACCCTTTTGACGCGCAAATTTTGAAGGACCCCTTTATCGAATCGGCTTGTCCTTGTGCATGGTGGGCCAAGATGCTGGTACGTATATTGTGTAAAACTGTAGCTCGATAGCTTGGCTGCACAGCTCCCTCCATGAATTTCGTCATAAACGCAAACACACACACACACACATACACACACACGAACACACACACACACCACAGCACACACACCACAGCACACACACCACAGCACACACACACCACAGCACACACACCACAGCACACACACCACAGCACACACACCACAGCACACACACACACCACAGCACACACACCACAGCACACAAACCACAGCACACACACCACAGCACACACGCCACAGCACACACACCACAGCACACACAACACAGCACACACACCACAGCACACACAACACAGCACACCGCAAAACGCTACAACACAAAGACAGACGCTTTTTGCTTTATGATAAGTCATGATCTTACATAGTTAAATAAGAGTCAAATATGCCATTACCGCTTCCATTAACGGCACAGGTTCTTTTATTATTGCTCGGCAATGCAAACCCCAGCGGCGTATCTACCAAAATGGTCAGAAGACAAGAGGCTACTTCTAGCAAGCTGCTTGCAAGCGGAGGCAATATGGAACGCTAATTTCAATATCTGGTATATCTGCTAAACGATTCGAAGCTTATAACGAAGTTATAAGCCATTATATCGCTGAAAGGATGTATATGCAAAACAAAAAATGTATATACACATTGTTTGGATTAATGCTGGACAGAAACTTGCAAGCAAGCTGTTCTATAGAGTATATGCCCAAATGTGAGCCAAAGAGGATTTTGTACGTTCAGTTTTGCAATTCATATGTAAGGACTTGCGATTGAGCTGCTTTATCTTTGTCCACGAAGGCATTTAGCAGGTAGGGAAGGTTGATTTGGAGTTAGCGTTCAACACCGCATCCTAAAGTGCAGGGCTTTTCAAACGCAGTGTCGCTACATCAGCATTTCCACTCCCGCACTGGACTCCGTCTCTTCCGCGAACATGCTCCTCAATCACTTCCAATCAAGTGAGGCTCCGCCTTTCCCATGTTTGCTTTGGGAAAGTGATTAAAAAGCATGGTAGTGGAAGAGCTGCAGAGTCCAGCGCGAGAGTGGAGGTGCTGATGCAAGCGACACTGCATTTGGTAAGCTCTGTATGCAGTTGTTTCAATTGAAGGCATCGTTCCGGCAAAAAGATGGCTGCTGGGTTTTGTGGCGATTTCAAACTAGACCCCCTACCGAAGCGATGACTGAAGTTCCGAGCATAAAAGAGGGTCTACCAAGCCTGAAATTTGCTCCGAAAGTAACTCGGATCTTATTACGGTGGGCCCGGACGCCACCCACGCAGCGATTTCGAATTGCAAGGCCAGAGCACGCATGGCACACACGGTCATGAGTGCGGGGCCGCAACGACTCTGCGTCTCTACCTTGCATGCAACTCGTACTTGTTCCGAGCCTACCGTAAGATCCGGGCCACTTGAGGGGGCAATTTCTAAACTTCGCAGACCCCCTTTCGCGCTGCGAACTTCTGTCATTGCATAGTTAGAGGTCTACTATTACATTACTACCAGAGCCAGGTACCCTTTGGTGGAACGTTGCCTTTAACAACTTCCAAACATCTTGTTAGTGTGATGGAAAAGTTGGATATTAGTTGTGAAAAGCAATTCTACTTCATACAATTTTACCAAAGCGTCATTGAAGCTTCTGAGGAATTTCGAAGTTAACTAGTTTTTTTCTTCTGAATTCTTTCCTCGGAATTACAAATAGTTTATTTAGTCGTTATGTAACGTTACGGCTCTGACGAAGTTGGAAAAAAGACCTAAGAGCTCCAGTCCGTATCATTTTTGTTGCCATTCCTAAACTGAAGCTAAAATAGTTGACGAACTTTCAAATTTTATTTCATGATCAGCCCACTTCCACAACAGTCATAAAATCGAGTTAAGGGATAGGTTCGTTCACCAAAATTTTGTAAATTTCTAAACATTATCTTTTGATTTACTATTCTAAAGAAAAGCTTTGGAACCCCAAGAAGTGGAGCAAACATACCAGTCGCTTGGGAGGATGGAGTCTCCCGCTCAATTCTCCTTGAGCTTGCTCCGTCAATAACCAGTCCTTGGCTGGGTCGCTCAACGGTGCATCATCATCATCATAAGTGTAATCGTAATAACCTTCATTGTCTGATGCCGCTGATTCCCCATCCTCAGGTGCTCCTGACCTTTGTATTGTCTCATCCCCTACAGGTTTCATTGCCACATCAGCACTTCCTTGTGCACTGGCTTCGGCTGATGTTTTCTCAGCCTCCACACCTTGCGCTTTCGGATCATCCCCAGATGACGTTTGGGCGCTTTGTGTCTTGAGGTCATTCTCAGCTAAATTTTTTTGACTGGTTTCACTTTGTTGCTGTGTCTCCGCCTTTAGAGCTGACTGCGGTTGCTGCTCAGCTAATCCCGATGGTACTGACTCCACAACCACGTCCTTTTCTTGCACCAAATCCGTAGCCATGGCACTAGCAACTAGAACGGAGAAGTAGAATACCTTAAACCAAACTATCAGCAACACGGCTATTAAGAAATTTTTAGCTCACAGTCAACGATAAACAGAGAGGCATCATCTTTCAATAAAACTCCTGTATTCGTAAACGCTTTTATATCATCGAACGATGTCATAAAAGATTCGGACTTGTTTCAGTGCATTTGCCCATCGTAAATAGTTCAAATTGTGTAGCAGCTAATGATGGGATGGTTTGATGAGTGAAGACTAAGAATAGTATGTTTGTGAATGCAAAATTCAGTACAGGGAAAAAGAAAAAGGGCAATGTACACCATTCTCTCAGCTACTATAACCCGTTTGCAAGTTCTGAATTGCGATGGTTTCAAAAACCCCGTAACTCTTTTGAAAAGTATTGGTTGAGTGCAAAATTTATGAGTTTAAACTCTCTACGTTTCTCAGACAATCTGCAATGTTATACCTTCCGTGAACCGTTTCTTCCTTATCTGCTTCAAATGCGAGTGCTTTAATCACCAGTGTACCATTTCATTTTGCAAGCAGATGTTCAATTTCGTAATCCTTGCACGAAATAAAGATTAATTAGATTTACTCTTCATTTTGATTTAAATTAAGAAATTTTCAATTTGCTATGTTGATACTTTGAAAACTTTAAATTATCAGAATTGCCTACGAAAAGATTCCGCAATGCAGGCATCAAAAAATTCAAAAAGGTCAGCGACTCTTCTTTATGACTTTTATCTCAGGCCTTTACTATGAAAAAAAAGGTTAGAGCAAATTATTTTGGAAAAGCCAGGACCAGATCGCTCGCTATTTGGACAGTGATTATCCATGCGAATGTCGACATAAGATTTGAAGAGCTAGTTTGATAATTTCTGAAAGCAACGTGTTCAATTGTATCAAGAATGAAGGTAATTGCCTTTGAAAAAATGCAGAATCACGCCGTTTGAAGAGAGTTAATCTAGAAGAGATTTGTGATTCTTGGACCTTTACAAAAAAGGGATCTGATGTCATGTACACTAAAATACTGCAAAAGCTTTGAGACAGCCAAGTGTTTATGAAAATGATGGAAGTGGAATATGTGATAAAAGTGTAAATAGCATCCCACCTAGTTGAAGACAAATACGGAGTAAATTTCAGTCTACAGTCTAAAATTATTGCAGCTTTCACGTATAACACAATGCATTTTATTTTGGGTTCCAAATTTTATTTATCTAATAATTTGATTATCTAGTTATTCAATGCACAAGTAGTGTGCCTATTACAGAACAGCAGAAATTCTAAGTAATCAGGAAAAGATGATACAACGCTAAATGCGTTAAATGTAAATAATCGAAATCATCTGGTAAAAATAACCTCAAAAAACATTTACTCAGGTAAGAGAGCTAGAATGATACTACCCAATATAGCATCGAGATAGCATCCGAAATTGACTGCCTTAGCTAGCCATAAATCGTTAGTGAAGAGTGTCAGGTGCTTTATGGTCATGAGGCATGAGGTTTTTTTCAATGGTATTTTTCATCTGGAAGGCATCCACTAATCAGGGAGTAATAGCTGAAAAAGACTGTTCGAACTGCTATAATGTTATAATGTAGGAATAAATTCCCGGTCTATTTCAATCACTTCGGTCTTATGTTGTTGAAACATGCCTACTAAGTTCGCGTACAACAGAAAAACTTCAGCTTTCCAAAACCCTATTTCAAATGTTACCATATCAGCGTATGATGTCGAGTATGCCAATACTGTGTAAACTACACTCAGATAAATTATTGGCCTAAACCAATGTATAAAAAAAGAAGTACTGACTCAGCAATCAATAAAATGATGGCGGTTTTCTCCAAAAACTTCATCGAGAAGTTCGCAGTGCATTGAAGAGCGAAAGCGCTCATGTAGCATCAGCGGCATTGAGGCAGCGGTTTGGACTGTGCGTATGAGACATAAAAGACCTGAGTAAGAAAGTAGACGACAATGATGCACGATCTAGATTGTACTCTAAGCAAAGCTTATCAAATCGGCTTGTGGACCCCCCCCCCCCTTAATTAAAGCGGTCTTACCTTCGTGTACTACTTCTTGACTCCCGGGAACGCCCAGCTCCTGCGTACCGTTGGCTTCTCTAAAGTTTATATAAGGAGAAGTATGATAGAAGGGGAGAAGAACGCGCCAGAGTACGAGCTTCGTCAGGAGGGGAGGGAGCGTAGTAAAGGAGCTGTGGGCGCAAATGGGTTGTCTACAAAGGATAACAATCAGTTTCTCAGCTCCCTCATAAATGTTCGGAAAACCATTAGCATGGCATAATTTAATGCAAAAATCGAAGTGTTTTCTTTCCAATTCCCTAGGCGTTGTAAATGACGTTGACCACCAACATAATTCTTGTGTCTAAAAACCGGATTCACCTTGATTTTATGAATAAAAGCGCAACTTCAATTATTCAAGCATGCTGCTCAGGCGCACCATCTTGCCTCGAGAAATGGTCATTCTTCCACACAATCCCTTTGAGTAAGAAAAAGAGAGCTTTTGGTTGCAAAATTCATTGGTCTGCTCAAATCGGTCAAGTTTAGAAGAAAGTGCGCCCTGACGCGTCAAATTAGGGATATTCTTGAAAGTGAGACGTGTCTTCTAAAAAACAAGACTTCAACATGATTCTTATTGAACACTATTTATGAATACCCAGTTTGACTTGCTTTGAAAAAGCAGCTTTTTGGAATTTCCGGTACTTTTACGTGGCAAACGTAATCAAAAGCCTCGGTTTTTATTGAATAAATAAATATAACGGACTTGATAAACGTGACCCACGTAATCTAGAATGGTTATAATGCAGCCAAAGCTTTGCTCTACATAACATTTACCAGCGCTCCTTAGAAGTATCAGGATGAAGGTTTTTAAAATTCAGATAAAATTTGGCGTCACTGTTGAGCTGCTTAAAAGCCATGGCTCACAGAGCAAGTACAGCTGTAAGAAAAAGGATGAAAATCTAAATCAAATGGTTCTTGGAACGTCTATAGACTTGTGTTCTGTGAATTTTAGTGAGCGATGAAAAAAACCGACAAAACTTTCGGGACAACCTAATATTTTGATGTTGTATATGCACAAAAATTTCAGATCTAAATAACATAATACTGATTAGAAATAGGAGGTGGCTTTATAGCTGTGACCAGCCTTGAAGACCCCTTTTTTCAAAATTTTTAATTTTCTCCGGCCAAAACCAATGAAATTGGGAGCCGTCCTGGCCAATGATATGACGTTAGTTTTCGCACAGGAGTGGTTTTTCAGACAATTTCGAACAAAAGAGAGCAAATTACAGTGATTTTTAGGGTGGCTTTATAGCTATGACCAGCACTATAGTCGTGACTTCACAATCTGAAACTTCTTTGCTTTGTTCTAATCGGACTTCGTCATTATGAACTGCTCTTCCCTGCAAGAACTTTATCACAGGTTCTGCAGAAAGATCTATGATGGTATACCATTGTTATAATAAAACCAACTTTGAACCCTTCATTCATTTGGTATTTAGCACAGATGCGTACGCTTTGGAAACATAATCCCTTCAGCGGTTTCCATTAACCACTACTCGTTAGCAAATGAACCGAGAATGCTTTTTGCTCCAATTTAGATCTATGAAGAAATTTCTGGAGAACTATGAGCGCTGTTTGTCATACAAAATCTTGTAGTACTCTGCGTTGATACCACTGCTT